TCTTTTCATCCCCAGTGTTTAGCAAAGTGCCTAATATACAGTGGGCCCTTAATAAATGCTTGTTTGCTTGATCTGACATCACAGATTACATGCCATACTCCAGCCAGGCATCCAAGGCTTTGCATGGACAGCCCCTCCCTCATGCCTAGAATACTTCCCTCTTCATATCAACCTTCAGTAGTATTTGCGCTAAGCCTTGGCTTTTCCTATTTCCCTTAGTATAAGGATCCCCCTCTCCTCACACACCAATAACTATCCTTTTCGGGTTTTTTTTTAAATTATCCTACCTTTATTTAGCCATGGATATGTTATATACCTAGTAGAACTGTATTTGTTTATATCCCCAGTGCCTGAGTAAATGGGTGCAAGAGTTCATTGTCTCTCACAGAGCTAAAATGGAAAGATCCTAAACAGTAGAATATTCAAAAACCCTTTCCAAAGTGGATGGGAGTGGGGGCTCAGACACAGCCCCTGCCTTCCATCAAGCTTGGCAGTGCAACAGCCTTAGATTTGTAAGGGACCTCAAAGGGTGTCTAATCTAACCCTTGGCTGCAATGTGTCTCCTCTCTAGGACATTCCCCAACTAGGGGCATCCATGACTCTTTGGAGAGCCTTCCAGTGAGGAACCTGGAAGTGATAGCAAGGTTCTCTCTCTTTGACCGAGGAAGCCCACTCCAAGTGCACAGACCACCAACCACTAGAAATCAATCTCAATCTCTCAATCTCTATCTCCCTCCCTCCTTCTCTCCTCTCTCTGTCTCTCGCTCTCTTTCTCTCTCTCTTGTTGAGCCAAACCTTACTATCCTTTATAACTTTTTCTCCCTTGTTCCTAGGGGACCACAAAATAAATCTGCTTCCTCTTTCCTTCCAGTGCTCTGTTTTAAAAATAGTCCAAAATACACTTCTTGGTTTCTTGTTTTTGCCCTTAACCCTCAAATGTGTTTGTTAGTATTATGGCAAGATGACTATTAGATGTCGACATCATAACTCATCCTTCTTCAGCAGCTAAGGACTAATGAGGCTACCAATATGAAGTATATGATCTGAAGGGAGTGAATGGCTTGTTTTGACCAATTTATAAGACCTCTCTCAAAAGGTTAGAAATACTACACAATGAAGAGTTATCATTATCATTCTGTGATGATATGACTGAGTTTTAACTATCTTTATGTAGAGTTTGTTTTTCCAAAAGCATTCAAGGTTCTCCACAGTTTAGCTTCCACCTCACTTACCTTTTCGGCCTGTCGCTGACTATTGCCCTTCACGCTTTCATCCCCAGCAAACCCATTAATAATTGTTCTCCATTTCATTCTCTCTTGCCTCTCCCATCCATGCCATCGCCTACACCTGGCATTAACTCCCTGTCCAATGTAGTCTCTTCAAGGCCTACCTTGAATGCTACCTCCTCCAGAAAGCCTTCCCTAAGTGACTCAGCTTCAAGTTATCTTTCTTCTATCTAGCCTCACAGTATTTTTCTAGACCTTCCCTTTTAACTTGGTACATTTTAAACTTTATCATATTACATAACAGCAACAATAATGAGTAGCATTTCTATACTGCTTTAAGGGCTGCAAAGTGCTTTACAAATATTAGCTCATTAAACAATCCCAGGATGTAGATGCTACAATTATTTCCATTTTCCAGATAAGGAACCAGAGGCAGACAGAAGTTAAATGACTTGCCCTGGTGAGTATCTAAAGCTGGATTTGAACTTAGGCCTTCCAACTCCAGGGTCAGCACTCTCTATTGTGCTACTGCTTACCCTAACTTTAACCAACAATGCTACTTTTTTTTTTAAGAACCTATGAGCTGTCTTTAGGGGAAAAAAAATAAACGAGAGCCCTATCCTTTTATTCCCCCAAGAAAGTAAGCTGCTGGTGTGAAAAAACTATCTTACTTCTTTATATTCATAGGATCAAATATTTAGAGGTTATCCAATCCCCTCAACTTAGAAATGATAAAACTGAGGACCCACAGTGGTTAATTGAATTGCCCAAAGTCACATAGCTAGTAAGAAACAAAGCAAGTATGATTCCTAAGGCACAGCAACGTTATCTTGCATATAATAAGCATTTAAGTATTCATAAAAGCACAGGACTTAGAGACAGAAGGAACTTGAGGCAGTATCTAGTTCAATATCTTCTTTTTCCATAGGAAGAAGCTCAGGCCCAGAAAAGGAAAATAATATGACAAAGTCATACAGAGCCAAGGTTCAAATCCAGGTCTTCTTATTCCAAATTCTATGTTCTTGTCACTACGCAACAGTTGTTTGTTAAATGGAATTTATCAAGTGAAGCCTGAGATCTCTAAGTCTAATTGCCTCTGTCCCTTCTATCTCATCATCCATACTTCCCTGTGTCCCCACTCCAGAGAAAAGACAAGTAACTGTAAAGTTGCATGTCAAAGGGTATGATTCCCTGTGACCAAAACAAAACACATCTCTGACACACCTACTGACATGTGCCAATATCACCTTATCAAAGGCAATAATAAATACTACTAGCTTCAATTTCTAGTCTTAAGTAAATTTTTAAAATTACTGCTAAAGAACTCAGGAACAAGATGATGATGGCATCATTTTTAAAAAGCTATTTAAGATGGCCAATTGAAGTTTCCCAATTGCAGTCTCTTATTTATTTGCAAAAATCCATAGGGCAAATAATTCAATTCATTTAATATTGCTCATGTATTCCAACTGCCCAAGTGACCCAAGTGCTGGGTTACTTTATTAACTTCTGCTTACACAACTAATACTAATTTAAGTCCTTTAAAAAAAATGCATCCCTATCTTCCTTCCCTCTTCCCAATCCAAGCTCATCAATGATAATATATATACACAGCAAAGAGACCTAATAAATCTTGGTAAACAATTCAACCATTACCAGATAAAGTCTACCTTAAATTCAAAGGCAGCCCCACTTTCTTTCTTCAAAACCTTTCATATATTTCTGTAAGACTCAGGAGAATGAGGGTGTTTTTTTCCCCACACAAAGGAGATAACCCTTACTCTCTAACTGTGCTATCCAATTCGCTATCTACAATCCTGAGATCTTTATTTAAAGGTGCTGACAAATTGTATTATTTCCAAGGAATGTCTGTGTCTTCTGTAAAGCACAAGGAGTTCAACACTTAGAAAAACCACTAGGTATAGTTAAGTATCCTATACCAAAAACAGATTCTTTGGCACTACCACAAACAGCCATTACTGTCACAGGATTTGGGGGTGGGGGGGGGAACAGAACTTTAAGAGATTCCTCAGTCCTCTCATTTTTTCAGATGAGGAAACTGAGGCACAGAGAAGGGCATGTATAGACCAAGGCCACACAGGTAAGCAATAGAACCAGGATTCAAACCAGATGCCAAAATTCAGGACTCTTTCCATTACACCACAGCTACTTTTCCAGTAAATGCACAAAACAACTGAACAATTCAAAGGTATAGAAATTAAAGGTAAAGGAAGTGCTGTTACGGGCTGGGAAGGCTTCCTGAAACAGAAGGTAGAGATTGATCAAGATCATGCCAGACGTATAGGATTTGGACAGTCGGTGAGGCAGTTAGAAACTGGCATCTGGGAGGGAAAACGGGCAGGGCTTGGGATATATGGAAATGGAAGAAAAAACCAAACTGAGGAGAAGCAAGGCCGTGAAGAAAGATATGTTTGTGCCTAGGAGGAGACTAAAAGAAAAATAAGCTTCCTTTACTGGGTGTTTACTTCACAGACTGGGCTGAAGTCTGACCCTGGAGACTGTTAATGAGTGGGAAGGAAGAGGACTTAAAACGCAGATGAAAACTGCAGCTGAAAACTGATCCCTGCTGTCAGTAAGAGTAGTATCTGTTGTGGAAGCATGAGGAAGAACAGACCTGGGAACCAGGCAGAGAGGCACAGAATAGCCAAGAAGGTTGCTCTCCACTGGGGCTTTAAGCCCAGCTACTCAACTTCAGGTTGTTTTGAAACTCCTAGTGAAAAAGAAAAGAACAGAACAGGCCTAGAGAAGGCAGGGTGGGACTGGTGCCCACTGGAAGGAGAAGGAGGAGGAGAAAGAGGACTGGGTGTGCCCTGCCTGGACCCAGATGTGAAGAAGAAAGTACAAAAGGCACCACCAGTAAAGAGCCTTTTTAGGAGCTACCCCAAACGAAAAGTCACAGGTACCAGGGCTAAAGAAGATATCACAATAGTGAAAAGTCAGGACACCCAGCTCTGCCAACGATTCACAGTGTGGCTTTGGACAGGTCATTTCACCTGGCTAAGTCTTAATTTCCTTATTTGTGACACCAGGGGATGGGCACTGGGAATGGGAAAGAGTCAGGAATAAGCACCTGAGGGAGAATGGAAGGAAGATGGGGCCCGTGGGGCAGAGGGAAGGGAAGGGAAGGGAAGGGGAGAGTCAAGCACAACACACAAGCTCGGGGAAGTAACCTGAAGAAAGAAGACCCAATTGCCTTGGAGGGGAAGACAACAAGACCTAGAGGGACCACAAGGAAAGGAAAAACCCACATCTGGGGCGAGAGAGGGGGAAACTATTCCTGGGGAGTGGGGAGGGAGACCTTAGGGGGGTCCGCTGTGGCGAGGAAGCGAAAACCGAAGTCTAGGGAGAGGAAAGAGGAATTGGAATGGGAGAACACCATTTGACCAGAATGGGGACTTCTTGCAGGGGCACGGGGGTGGTACTCCCTTGTTTGGGGGGGAATCCCCTGACTGGCTGAGGCGTGGGGGGGAGGGGAACTTTGGCCCGGACAGTGCAGGGAGGGGGACCCTTTGCCTCCGGCAGGCATATCGACAGAGTTGAGAGGACCCCTTGACTTGTGCAGGACTGGGGGGTAGGGGGTTGCTGGGCTAAGGGGAAGGGAATCCCTTGGCTTGGCCGCAGGGCTGGCTGGGGGGGGGTCCTCCTGGGTCGGGGGGACTCCCTCCGGCTCTGAGGGGATCGCCGGGGTCGCGGGGCAGCGCTGGTTCGGGGTGGGGGTCTCCCGGCTCCCGGCCCCCCCGGCGCGGCACCTACCACTTGGGCCAGCTTGAGGCGGCCCGGGGCGCGGCGCAGGTAGTCGGGGTGGCAGCGGAGGCCGCCCAGCCCGCGGCGCTGGCTCACGGGCTCCGTGGTGGGCTGGTAGGGGCTGCTGGCCCCCGAGATCATGGAGGTGCTCGAGGCCTCGCCCTCGAAGCCGTCCAGCTCCTCGCCGCTCCGCATGCTGGCTCCCCGGGCGGCGGGCCTCCCTCAGCGGGGCCGCGCCGGCTGCATCGCGGGCCCGGCCCGGCCCGGCCTGGGCGGAGGGACCCGGAGCCGCCGCCGCCGATGCCGCGAGGCCGCAGCCGCCGTTGCCGCCTCCTCGGGCTCCCGGGGCTCCTGGCGCTCGGGCGCCGCCTCCTCTAGGCAGCGGAAAGGGAGGGAGGGGCGGGAGGGGCGGGAGGAGCGAGGGAGGGGCGGGCGGGAAGGGGGGAGGGGGCGTCCGCGCTCGGCGGCCGCCGCAGGATCCCTCCCTCCCCCGCCCGCTCACCTGCAGCGGCCGCCCCGCCTCCAGCCCCGCCCCCCCTCCCACCCTCTCCCACCCCCACCGCGAGACCTGGACCCCGCCCACCCCGAGCAGGGGCACGAGCGCGGGGGCGGGGAGGGAGGGGGGGGAAGGGGAAAGAGAGGGGGGCGCCTTGGACCCTTCCCGGCCAAGCCAAGAGAGTAAAGGAGGGAAGGGAGCTGCGGGGACCCAGAAGGGGCGGAGCCGTACCTAGCGAGGGGTGGGGACTGAAGGAGACTGTGCCCCAGGACAGCAGGAGAGAGGAAGGGGCAGAAGTTAGCAATGGAAGGGGAGGAGGGGGCTCCGCTTCTCCGAGGGGGCGTGCGTGGACGGCCTCGGGAGAAGAGCTGAGGGGGGAAGGGTGTCTGCCTTCCAAGGAGGGAGCCGAAGAGGGGAGGGGGCTGAGGAGAGGCTAGCTACCTCCTCCGGTTGTAACCAAAGGGGAAAGAAATTTGCGGGGGAAAGGACCTACTGCATTGAGGCTGGGGGTGGTGGCTAGGAACTGAGGGGGCTACCTGAGCAGAGTTGTAGAAGGAAAGGGAGGCCTGAAACATAGAGAGGATTTCTTAGGGAGTAAGGTGGACCTAAATTCAAATCCTGCCTCAGACACTAGTTTTGTGTTCTTCAGATGTCTTCCTCTTGGTGACCCACCCCACGTACCATAGCACGCCAGGCCCTTCTGTCCTGCACTATTTCTCGAAGTCTGTCCAAGTTCATGTTTATTGTTTCCAGGACCAATCCATCTCATCCTCTGTATGACTTTGGGCAAATCACTTCTGTTCTCTCTGCCGGTTTCCTCAACTGTAAAACTTGAATAATAATAGCACTTACCTCCCAGGGTTGCTGTGAAGATAAAATGTGGTAATTTTTGTAAAGTGCTTTGCAATATTATATAACTCCTGAGAGCAAAGGGAGCTTGCAATGATTTGAGGGAATTTGACTTGAGGGATTCTGGAGCTTCCTCACCGAGAATGAATCAGCTGCTTCTGTGGTGGAAGGCACCCAGGTGGAAGCAGGAGAATTCATAATTCGTTGGGGAGATTAGTGGCTAGAGGGGTGATGGCAACTTGATTAGGAGTGGGAAGAACTTGGGTTTGGTTTGTACTAGCTGTTTGACTATGGGCAAGCCGCAGCCTCTCTGCGCTTCATCTCTTCTAGGAATTCTAGTTAAGCTTGTGCCCAAGCTATGGTTTTTTTTTTGAGACTTTGCTTACAGATGTTTTAGTTATTCTCTTCTATATTTGGGTCTTCAGCAAACCTGTCACCATAATAGTTTTTTATGGTGGGATTCTTTTTTTGGGTTGGATCATTCTTCCAGGCTACTCCCTGAGGTCATTTTTTTGTTTATTTTTTTGTTTTGTTTTGTTGGTTAAGGCCAGTTTCAGCACTTCTTGAGGGAATTCAAGCTGGTCTGATTTTGCCGCCTTGAGATTCTGAGTATTGTGTTAATTGAGTATCTGATGTACAACTCGATTTGGAAGCCTGCAAGTTTTCAGTGCTTTCAAAGTGGTCTAATGCAGGACGGAGTCTGATCACTGGCCCTTTGGTCTGAGCTCTGAAAGTTTTGTGGGTTTGGGTCTGATAAACAAGATTGTTGGCCCACTGTCTTTGGAGTTTCAGTAGATTGGACTGCCCAACTGTCAGCCAGCTGGAAAGCTCTGCTGGTTCAGTGTCAGAACTACATGCTTCCCTTTGGTCTGGGGTTTCCTCTCTGGTTATTTAGCTTCAGTCTTCAGACTGGCCTGTAGACTAGAACTACTGTTTACATCTAAACTTCCTACTTAGCTGGTACCTAGCCTAGGGCTGGCAACTACTCTTCACCCTGGAACATCTCCCCTAGGCTCAGGTCCCCTCCTCATTTCACCCTGGATCTATGACTTGAAACTGGGTAGTAGGAGACTGAATTGCCACTTGGCTCGGTTCCTGAACAAAGCCCCTTTGTGCTGGATCTGATACTCTTCTTGCCCTGGTATATATTCTCCCTTCCCTGGAATGCTTCTGGCCAGACCCTGTGTCAATAAACCTCTCTTTCTGTCTCCCTGTGCTGACTTGGACTGGAAAAATGACTCACTGTGATTTTTTTTCCCTTGGATTTCCTTATAAGGATTTGGTTTCTAGATATGTTTAGAGGAATTTGGAGAGATGGGGGAGCTCCCAGTACCTCTTCCTGCTACTCTGCCATCTTGGCTCCACCTCAACCCCAGATCTTTTTCAAACTGTTGTCTAGTCACTCCATTTTAATGTAAGCTCTTTGAGGACAAGGACAGTTTCATTTTTATTTTTGTGCCCCCAGTGTCTAGAATGTAGCAAATGCTTGTTGAATTGCACTGAATGTCTTCCCCATCTTGTACTAGTACAAGTTTATTTTTGAACCCAAGTGCAAGACTTCACATTAATCCCCATTTTCATCTCACAGGTTTGTTGTGAAAAAAAGTGCTTTTAAAAGTATTGTATGGCAGTGAGCCATTAATATTTTCAGTTTTTTATGTTGCTTTTTGTTTTTCTTCCATAGTAATTTCACCTTAAAATGATTTCCCCCATTAGCCCCACCTTTTTCTAAGAAGGAAAAATATCTTTAAAAACCTAGGGACACAACTGACCATGTTGTTTACAACATTATGCATCTGTTAGTCCCCTATCCTCTGTGCCAAAGGGAGAGAGGTATATTTCATCATCAGATCTCTGCAACTGAGGCTTGGTCATTAAGGTAAATCAACTTGGTTGTCTTTTAGCATTGTTTTCTTTCATGTTATTATAGTGATTACATATATTTTTCTAGTTCTATTTACCTTTCTCACTCTGCTTCAGTTCATACAAGTCTTCTCATGCTTCTTTTTGTAGAAGCGTTTTCAAAATCTCCCTTTTAATGCAACTGAAAATATTAAGAAATAAATATTTCTCTAGTCTAAAGTCCTTTTCTGGATTATTCCTGCTTTCCCTTACTTAGGCCTAACTCTTTTCTTTTAGGAAAGTATGTAAAAGGTCAAGAATGAAAGCTAAGGCCCTGGGAAATGGGGTTAAGGGTGGTAAGCAAACATCAAACAAGAAATTCCTCTTCTTTAGTTAAGATCTTTGCCTTCCCTATCCTCTGAAAGGATGAGAATTGGGATCCACCCAAGGGCAGGACTCTCTTTTCTCATTGTGAAGGTATCCTTACAGTATTGACAGGAGATCCCTTAAGCGGAATGGTCAAAGAGAGGTGAGTGGTTTTAGAAGGTGATTCTCCAGAAAGCTCTAATGACTATTGTTCAATTAGATGGAGCAAAGTCTTAACCCAAAACGGTTTTTTTAAATCATATTGTGACATTTTCCTTGTCTATTCCTATAAATGTTCATAATAATAGCTAACATTTATATAGTATCTGCTATGTGCCAGGCACATAGTGCTTTATAGATATTATCTCATTTAATCCTACTAAAAAATGCTTCATGGTAGAGGCATCTGAGGGAATGAGAAGACTACTGGTTTGGGCATCTCTCTGTCTCTCTGTCTCTGTCTCTCTGTCTCTGTCTCTCTGTCTCTGTCTCTGTCTCTCTCTCTCTCTCTCTCTCTCTCTCTCTCTCTCTCTCTCTCTGTCATACACACACACGTACACACACACTCTTAAAAATTCTTGGATTGCTTCAATTTAGAAGAATGATCAGTTTTTAAAAATTGTTTCTGGGGGACAGATAGATGCCATAGTGGATGAAGCTTCAGCCTTGGAGTCAGGGGGATCTAAGTTCAAATCCAGCCTCACACTTATTAGCTGTGCAACCCTGGGCAAGTCACTTAACCCCAATTGCCTCACTAAAAAAAAAAATTGTTTCTGGTATACCTGTGCCTAAAATCCAGAGTACATTATTCATATTTTTTCCAAACACTTTGAATTTCTCATACTCATCATTTCTTATGGCAAAGCTAGTATTACTATGAAGCAAATGATCCTATACTCAAATTCTTCAGGAAAAAATTTGTGAGGATAACCCAGGTTTTTGAAGGTCGACTTGTGCCTTCTTGGTCTTCTTTCGCAGAATCTTAATCCATCTCCTAGACCCTGAGTACAGGTGTCTGCCAGGGTTCTGTCCCTGTTCCTCCTCTCTTCTTTCTTTGAACACTTTTCCTCATAGATCTCATTAGCTCCCACAAGTTCAAGTATCACCTGTACATGGATAATTCCCAGAGTTACAAATCTAACTCCAGCCATGCAACATCAGCTGCCTGTTAGATATCTCCTCCTGGAAATCACACAAGTACCTCAAACTCAACATGTCTAAAACATCATCTTCCCCACTAAACTTGTCACTCCTATAAAATTCCCAATTTCCGCCACTATCCTAGTTTAGGGCCTCATCTCCTCTCACCTCTGCTATTGCAGGAGGCAAGATATTCTTGCTTCCAGTCTCCCTGTGCACCAGTCTAGCATCCAAACAACTGTCAAAAATAATCTTCTTACCTGTTTGGGTTTTTTTTTGGCTAGGCAATGGGGTTAAGTGACTTGCCCAGGGTCACACAGCTAGTAAGTGTTATGTGTCTGAGGTCACATTTGAACTCAGATCCTCCTGACTCCAGGACCGGTGCTATATCCACTGCACCACCTATCTGCCCCAAAAATAATCTTAAGGCATAAATGTCATCTGTTTAAAAAAATAAAATAGGGGCAGCTAGGTGGTGCAGTGGATAGAGCACTGGCCCTGAAATCAGGAGGACCTGAGTTCAAATCCAGCCTCAGACCAAACACTTGACACTTACTAGCTGTGTGACCTTGGGCAAGTCACTTAACCCCAACTGTCTTA